TTAAAAAGTAGTAATATAAAAATCGAGCTAATTCGAAATAGTTTAAACATATTTAAGTTATATATATATATATATATATATATTATTTTATTTTTTAATTAAGTTAGTTAAGATATTATTTTAGATAACAATTCTAAACCAGACACACTAAGCCCGCTTACAAATTTGTCCAATTATGCAAACAAATACGTATCGTTGCAGAGTAATTGTATTTCTTTCACATTTTTGGTGTAATAATTTCTACAGACAATACAACAATAGAACGCAAAGAGGAAATTATAAAATCAGATAGGTGATGTAAGGAAAAAGATTTAAAAAAGTGAGATATAAAAAACTGTTTCAGAAAACAAATATATAAAAAGGATAATTTTTATTGTGGATTTAGTCAGACAAAATGTATTTTCTTTGTTATAAAAAGCACATTTTCATTTTTTTTATAATTATTTTATTTGTATGAAATATCTACCATTTAAAAGGACCTGTACAGTTGGGTTGTGTATATACCTTTGATTTTTACAAATAATTATAAAAATATATATATATATTTTTTTTTACTATTTTTACATAAACATTTAAAAACAAAAAGTAAAGTAATATCTTTGGTAACCTGTCCCCCTCGTTTAGACTAAAAAATGCTCCACTTTCAGCCCTCACTCACTCACTCACTCAAGCTCTCAGCCTCTCACCATATCCTATGAATTCGAATACACAAGAAGACACGAACATCCATGCCAAACATTAACGCCACATAGAAATTTGTCTTGCAGGCCTTCTAAATTCCCTTCACCACTGAATCCAAAATTCTCTCGTCAAATGCAAAGTGCCCCTCTTTCTTTTCGTCCTTGTCCCTATATTTCACACCATATATAATATTAATATATATACACATCCTAACTCTCCCAAACCCCTTACTTCATATATTTGTTTTCTCCTTTTTCTCAACGTTACGCAATAACCATGCCAAACGCTTCAAAGAACAACAGGTTCTTAACCTGTTTCCGTCCCGTGGTTGATATAGATTCCATGCTTGAATCCAGAGCTGTTGCTGATCGCACTTCTAGTCAACGTTTTACGTGTATCCCCGTTTCATACAAACATGACACCAAAAATTCACCCACCAAACCCACGTTTTCGGACCAAGACATGCCACAGAGTTCGGTTGTGCTTCTGCCTCATCCTCCAAAACGAACGTTTTCTAAGGTCATTAAAGCCGTGGTGTTCCAAACCGTATTGGTTAGTACTTAGTAGTTACTACTCTAACTCTTCTTTTGTAGATTTAATTAAAATATCATCATCAAAATCTTTGCCTTACAGAATACAAGAGTTCGCAATAAAAATCTTCATGGCCAAACCCAAAATTGTATTGGATCAAAGAGTGGTTACTCGACATGTGATGAGAAAAAAGCTTTTGTGGTCACTAATGTTCAAGAAATCAAGGCTCCTGAATGGTCTCCAACGGTTTCATCATCAAATAATTCGTCCGTATCCGAGTCGAAGAATAAATCCAAGAGTGAGTCCACTAAAGAGCAAGTACTGAAGCAAAAGAAGTTCCATTGCGGGGGAATATACTGGATTCTCGTAAGCTTAGCAATTACGGCGTTTTGGGGTAAGATTAATGTTATTATTTTGACATCATTGTTGTTATGCTTTTTGTGGGTTTGGAACGCAAGATGGGAAAAAGGGGTTGCCAAGTTGCGGAATGCAGAATCCAAAGTCAACAAGAATAGGCGTAGGGACCATAGTGGAAGGGGTGGTGGAAATAAGGAACGTTTGTAATAATGGTCATGAAAATGTTTGTTTTACGTGAGGATGCTCTTTTTCTGCTTGAGGTCCAATGGACAGAGACACAAGTTTCTTGCAACGTTTTTAACTTTTATAGTTGAGGAAACCTGAACTCTTGAAGCACCTGTTTTGGATTCCCATAGATAAAAAAAAATCCTATCAGGATTGTAAGTAAGCTTTTAAATTCTAAATGTTTTGAAATAAGTGTTGCTTTTTACATAGGTTAACTTCAATCAGATGAGAAAATTAAAATATGTGGTCAATGCCTCAATGGTCATTCAGTTTTAAATATTATTTATGAAGATATTTTAGGCTGAGTCATTACTTGCATCAGACGCAATTTTAAGTGCCAGCAGTTTCTTGAATTAAAGGACGTTTAATTCCATGATATTACATCCATAGATTTGCTTAAACTTGCCAACCAAACACACTTGTATATAAGTTTCTGCTTTCTGATTTCTAGTGGCAGTACTTAATAAATAAGCTTTGCAGCTGTTGATAATACTATTTCATCTTCTCTTCCTTATAAATCACTTTTAACTGAATTTCTCTTCCTTATAACTCACTTTTAATTGAGTTACATAAATAATATAAATAATTATGTTGACTAATTTTATTAGATTTATATAATAAAATCATGATATTCTAATTTTATATTTTTTATGAAAGAAATAAAGATGTTGTTCTATAACAAAATTTATCGACTAATAAATTAGTAAACGACAATTAGAAAGTTTAAAAAGATAAAAAAAAAAATATTTTTATTTTTTAAATTCTTTTATCATTTTCAACAAAAAAAAATCATATTTTTTTTATAATTTTTAATAAGAATAAAATATTAAAAAAAAATTAATACTTTATAAAAATTTTGTAAATTATAAATCATACCGTTTATAAAAACACCACTATATCATTCTAAATCATACCTTATAATAAACATACAAGCATCTTTCTTTCAGCAATTCATTCTTTCTCACCGTTTTGCATTCTTAATTAGGTCTCACTATTATATGTCACTCGTATCCATAGTTTTAAAAACCGGACCGGTCATCGAACCGGTTAAGGTATTAGGTCAGTGGGTCAAAGATTGAACCGGTGGGTCACTGGTTGAACTGCATGACTCGATTTTTATTTATTTATATTAAAAAATATTCATATTAAATACATTTATACTTATAAATTTTAATAAATTCATATCTTATTTTAAATTTAAATTTTTCTATCTTATTTAAAATTATTTTTATTTTTATTTTGTAAAAAAATACATAAAAAAATTACATGTTAAACGGTATATTAATACAAATTAAAAATATAAATAATATGTACATATATAATATGCTTGCAATTAATATCACAAAATAATATATGTAATATTTACATAGATATTGAATTATTAAATATATAATTTAAAATTAATAATATACTATAAAAGTTATTTAAGTTGTATATATTGCAAACAAATATATTAGAACAAGTAGTCATTGTTATATTTAATAAGACTCCTTGCTTTTTCATTAAGAGATTCAATTTTCATTATTATTTTTGTGATTTATGGTCCCTTAAAAAAAAAAAAAAAAAAAAAAGTGATTGAACCGGTTTGACCCCACCGGTTCACCGGTTGAACCGGAAAATTGACCGGTTCAATCCGGTTTGAAACGAGTCGACTGCATAACCGATCCAACTTCAGATTCGGACCGGTTGAACCACCGGTTCCCGGTCCAACCGGTCCGACCGGCCGGGTCGGTCCGGGTTTTAAAACACTGCTCGTATCTTTATTTTATTATAATAATTTAACCTATTTATCTCTCCAATGCAATAAAACTTTTAGTAAATAACTCCTACCTAATAATCGTAAATCCTTACATTTCAATATCAATGATAGTTACTTAACTTCTCCATTTTTATTCTTTAATAAAAAGTACAATTTGTGGAAGAAAAAAAGTTAAAATTTAGCAACGGTGCTTGATTAAGTATTGGGTGATTAATAAGTCCTCAACAAAAATCTATTCCAACAATGAATTTCTAATATTCATATATCTTAATAAAAAGAGAGATAAAATCTCTCGTCAAAGATGAGATGACCTAAGAACAATAATTAAAAAATTAACATTAAAGTTTTTTTTCTTAAAAAGTGTACGATATATATACTCTCACATACTACTTTAAATTAACATAGTTTTCGATAAAAATAAATAAATATATTGATTCCGTCATTAACTAGAGTCCTGTGTGGAAACTTTTGGCAAACATTTAAATGGTGCCGATTTTTCTTAGGTGGAGTTTTTTTTTTTTTTTTTTGGTGTCTTGAGAAAATTTAAACAAACAGAAAGGAAATTACAAAGTCTGGAATTGCATGTAATATAGTTTTCTGCTGATCCAAATCTGTGATGCATCCTTCCTCTTAACTTGTTGCAGCACTGACTATTTGTGTCTGAAACATTGAACCATCTTGCCAATAAGAGAGATGTTCACTTGGTGGGACTCCCTCATGCCTTGGCCTCCCAACTCCTTTGGTTAATTTTGTTGGTGTTTACGGTAGAATATGTTTTATGGGTCCTTGTTATTTAGACTAGCACACAATGTGTTTCAATTTATATTAAATACATTAAGGTATAATTTAAATATTTTTTATGGTCTAACTTTAAACTTATTAAATACATTAAGGTATAATTTAAATATTTTTGATGGTCTAACTTCTACACATAATCTATGGCATTACAAAAATCTACAAAAACTCACAGTTAACATGATTTGTAAAGAATTTTCAAGAAATACAAAATTACCTATGGATATTCCTACAAATTTTCCATCCAATTATATTTATTAGTATTACAACTCTCTGTCCGTTATCTTTTTTTACGGATGTTTTTATGGCAAAAGTTTGTAGAGAAAAATCTAGTGCAATATATACACAGCAGAAAAAATGATTATAAAATATAGTTGCATAAATATGTTATGAAAAGAAAGATAAAACAAAGAAAACAAACAAGACAATATGAAATGGAGAAAAAAATTTGGTTGATGTATTATTTTTAGGGGGGATTAACCTATTTATGAATACATATGATAGTGAACAATTACATAAAAATAAAATAAAATATAACAAAAATATAAATGGTAATAATGTATATTGAACATTGACATCCACTAATTGAGTCAAATTATTATTTATAAGATGTCCAATATTTAGAATGTGTCTCATTAAAACCTTATTCGAAAAAATCATATTGGATAAAAATCTAGTGAGGGAAAAAGAGTACATTATTCTTAAATATTTATTTCTTCTCCTCATGCATATCATTATCTTTAAGACGACGAAATCCAATCTTGTGTATCAATTATTCAAAAAATTTCTTGGAAATAACTTTGTAAAGAGATCTACTAGGTTGTCACACGAGCGAACTTGTTGAACATTTATATCACCATTCTTTTGAAGATCATGAGTAAATTTTTTTTTGGTAGAATATGTTTTGTTCTATCCCTCTTTATGTATCTATCTTTCAATTGTGTAATACATGCAACATTATCTTCATATATAACTGTCGATATCATTTTTGTAGAAGATAAACTACAAGTTTCTCGTACATTTATTTTCAAAATAATTTTTAAAGAGAAAACTAGTAATGCATAAATAAAAATAATTTAGCCTTTTATTTTACCTTTTCTACATAACAAAATCATACCGATTATTATATTAAACTTATTAAATACATTAAGGTATAATTTAAATATTTTTTATGGTCTAACTTTAAACTTATTAAATACATTAAGGTATAATTTAAATATTTTTGATGGTCTAACTTCTACACATAATCTATGGCATTACAAAAATCTACAAAAACTCACAGTTAACATGATTTGTAAAGAATTTTCAAGAAATACAAAATTACCTATGGATATTCCTACAAATTTTCCATCCAATTATATTTATTAGTATTACAACTCTCTGTCCGTTATCTTTTTTTACGGATGTTTTTATGGCAAAAGTTTGTAGAGAAAAATCTAGTGCAATATATACACAGCAGAAAAAATGATTATAAAATATAGTTGCATAAATATGTTATGAAAAGAAAGATAAAACAAAGAAAACAAACAAGACAATATGAAATGGAGAAAAAAATTTGGTTGATGTATTATTTTTAGGGGGGATTAACCTATTTATGAATACATATGATAGTGAACAATTACATAAAAATAAAATAAAATATAACAAAAATATAAATGGTAATAATGTATATTGAACATTGACATCCACTAATTGAGTCAAATTATTATTTATAAGATGTCCAATATTTAGAATGTGTCTCATTAAAACCTTATTCGAAAAAATCATATTGGATAAAAATCTAGTGAGGGAAAAAGAGTACATTATTCTTAAATATTTATTTCTTCTCCTCATGCATATCATTATCTTTAAGACGACGAAATCCAATCTTGTGTATCAATTATTCAAAAAATTTCTTGGAAATAACTTTGTAAAGAGATCTACTAGGTTGTCACACGAGCGAACTTGTTGAACATTTATATCACCATTCTTTTGAAGATCATGAGTAAATTTTTTTTTGGTAGAATATGTTTTGTTCTATCCCTCTTTATGTATCTATCTTTCAATTGTGTAATACATGCAACATTATCTTCATATATAACTGTCGATATCATTTTTGTAGAAGATAAACTACAAGTTTCTCGTACATGTTGAATCATATATATTAGTCAAACACATTCATGACTTGTCTCATGTAATGATAATAAAATTTGTGCATGATTAGATGAAGTGACTGCTATAATTTATTTTATAGATCATCGTGAAATGTCTGTACCACCACTAGTAAACAAATATCCTATTTGTGATTTACTATTATGAAGATCTGACAAATAACCTACGTCTACATAATCATTTAGTTTTGGTTAGAGAACCTTTGAATATAATAATCCCATATCCATTGTACCTCTAAGATAACGATGAATTTGTTTAACTTCATTCCAATGTCTTCGTGTAGGTGAAGAACTATATATTGCTAACAAATTAACAATAAATGTTGTATCAGGTCGTGTATAATTAACAAGATACATTAATGTCCTTATAACATTGAGAAATGATACTTCAAGACCAAGTATTTCTTCATCCTTTTCTTGTGAGGTCTAAATGAATTTTTGTTAACATCTAAAAATCTTACTACCATAGGAGTATGCAATGGATGTGATTTATCTATATAAAACATTTTAAGCACATTTATTATATAAGCTTCTTGATGCACAAAAATTTCATTTTTTAAATATTCGATTTGCAATCCTAAGCAAAACTTTGTCCTTCTTAGATCATTTATTTCAAATTCTTTCTTTAGGCAATCTATTGCCCTTGAAAGCTCTTCAAGAGTTCCAATAATGTTTATGTCATCTACATAAACTACAATTATGATAAATCCATTTTTAGATCTTTTAATTA